CATCATATTTTGTCAATTTAGAATAATTTACATTAAACAAATGTGCACATAATTGTAACAAGATTCAAAACTGAGAGCCAGTTGAAAGGAAAACGAAACTTGTATATATGAACATAACTTAAGCAGAGAAATTGACAGAAATTAACAAACCTCTTTAGATTTTTGTATCAAGTATTCTTCTCCTTCTTTAGTGAATAGTTCAGCTGATACTGTCCTCATTTTTACACACATGAATTTGATAGCGTGTTCTCGTATACTCTCCTCTCCTGATATAATTTGCGAGAATAAACCTCCTAGTGTACCTATAAGTAAAACAGTAAGTTTTTCATTCAAATTCAGGTGATTGTTGAGAAAGGGAGATGAAAAGAGAACATATGTTCTTTTACAATTCATAAAAGTGACATTTACAGCCATTTTATTACTGGACATAACAATATCAAAGTATTAGTAAACACTGAATGAGTACTGAAAACTGAAAACATGTACAACATTCACAATCAATTTATTACAGCAATAATTAAATCGCTATATGTAAAGAATTCAGCCGACAAAATTTGGCTATTTTGTCTCAATTTTCTGAAGGAAAGTGCAAACTATAAACAGGACTACTGTAAAATATTTGCTTGGAATTATTTGCTTAGAATTACAAAATTCCATACAAAACGCAGAAAAAGTCTTCAGCAAAAATTAATTCCAGCTAAAATAAAGTATTTTACAGTATTTTGTGAATTTATGACAAAAAGAGGGAACTAGTGGTGAAAAGGTTAGACAAATTTGTAATTTACACTGTTCAGACAGTAATGAGGATATTGAATTAGCCAGCTAGTTTGTCAACTTCATGAATGAAATTATCCTGTCTACAATTATTTGCATGCTACTATAAATACAATAATTCATTACTATACCTTTAGCATCCAGTTTAAATAGCGTAAGTAGAGCTGTATTGACAATACTCAACTCAGATGAATCTTCTGTTTGTAGTAATTGTGTTAAGACATCAGATATTCTAGGGATGTGTTCTGTGCTATCTTTGCAAAGATGTGGCAGTTCTTTTATAGCTTGTCTACGAATCTGAAAGCAAAAAGAATGAAAGCATTATTGTACTATCTTTCTGTCTGTCTATGTAGTCTGGATTTGCCTTCTAAAGTCTATTACCGGTAGTTCCATATTTAGTCTGGGAAATGAATTGAGTCCATGCAAAGCTACTTCCATAACTGTGGCTACCCAACCATGACACATAACAGTTGGACCAATCAGAAAGCAGCTAATTTGTTGAGCTTGTTTTTCAACATATCAAATTCTGCACTATATATCATGCTATGACTAATCTGTCTGTGATGACCATCGATCACTATTTTCCATATTATGTACAGTCTACTGTCATTTTTCTTGTCATATTAACTTCCAATTTAATCATATAAATGATGTGAGCCATTAAAGGCACATTATAAACCATTACATGTGGCAATGGAGGTAAAAAAGGAATCCGAAATGACACACTTGTTGTCAGTATGTATTATGATGGTTTGTGTTTGTTAGTAAATGATCATTTGAACAGATTCCCTTTCTTAAAATGTGTTGACAATCTAAAGTCTGTTCTGCAGACTTTATTATTACTACAAGTAGGGAAAACATGTATACCGGTAATCTTAAGGTTCACACGAGAATACTACAAAGCTGATATGATTGCTGTAATGCCTTTGTCAGTTTGTGTATACTTTGCAGTATTCTCAAAATACCTTCACACACTACCTCTTCTGTGCAGTGCGGCATAACATGTTCACATTTGTTTTTTTTAAACACGATACACGTTCAAAAAAGTGGTGATACAAGATTACCGGGTATAAGTCCTTGAAAGAAAAGGTTTTAATAATTTTTAATCCCATTATGGAGTGTCGTGGCTCTGCCTCGTTCATGCAACACATTAGTCAATAGTATAACATATGATGTGCACTGTACTGCTTGATCTTAATCATTTGAAGGTAACTGTGGATAACTGATTCAGGATTACCTGGAATATTCAAGTCTTATTGAAATGTTTCATGATTTTCAACCATTTGTTCATGTTTTATAGCCCATAAAGAGTTCAAGGTACCGTAGACAATAAATTTTGGTTACGGTAGGGTTATTGAAATCACATATATTTTTTTATATGGTCTTATGTTTATATCTCCCCTGTGGCTTGCATATGTCTATATGTTTATTTGACTGGCCACACACAAGTACTTACAGAAACATCATCGTCTTCACAAAGGTCAAGCTGAGACTCAATGGCTTGTTCGGCTAACGTTGGAAAATACTTGAAAAATCTGGGAATAAACTGAGCAGCTAGTCTCTTTTCATTGGTGCCACCTTTCACAGCACTGAGTATGGACTCATATTCTTTAGTATGCTGAAATGACAGAATGAAATACAACAATATTTACATGGTTGTAGTCCCAAGGCACTTTTTTGTGTAAGAAATACCCAGTTCAAATTGAATTAAATTAACACATCACTGAGGTAACAATTTGACTAAAACTAAACACAAAATAATGATCACCTTTACTTCCCACCTAACCTATGTTTTCGTACAAAACGCCCAGTAACTGAGTAAGGTATATTGCGCATTTGCTTTACCAATTCGAGCCTGGGTTAGCTCCCTCTTATTCCATTGTTTTTTTCTTTATTCTCCATATAATTACTTTAAATTTCGAGATTCCTTCGTTCATCACCATTATAAGAAGAAGAATAGGAAAGTAACCGGGTATAGTGCGTACACGATGCAGGTCATGTTAGTATTTAAACATCCCATAACAAGAATGTCCATTGAATCGCGGCGACTAAATCAGAGGCCAAAGTAGTTTGTCCAATCTATCCATGATTGATCTGCGTGCGTTTTTTGCGACAAACATACAGGTACCGTTCATCTCGATGTTAGGCCCATTGCTGATTGGTAAAATACTAAAATTGACTCAATGGACAGCGAACTATGGCAGCCATCTTGAAACATGTGTGTACGTACGTATTATTTTGACTTGCACAAAACATCATATATCTTACCTCGTTTGCCTTGTCTTTGGCATCAGCTAACACGCCGAAATCTTTATATAACTGTTCCACACTCGCCATTTTCAACAATCTATACTAGAATAGTTAAAAAGTTCACTGCCAAATGAAACAAGCGACGTTTGAAAACGTCGAACCTACCAACACACAGACGCGAAAGATGCGCAGATATGGTAACATTCTGAAACGTTGTGCGCATTTACACTATCTGATGGTTGCTTGGTTTGTTTGAACATGTCAGCGTAAAAAGGGTACGGAATCATAACACCCCACCCACCCACAAGTCAGTGCGAAGTGTGAACATACACAATGCTACGGACAAATGATGAAATATACACTTGAGCTTGAGGTATCTAAATTACCATTTAGATAATAACAAACAAATGTGTTTTCATCATGAACACGAAGACCAACAAGTAAAAGAATAGGAAAGAAGACATTTATTTTTTAAAAACATGCCCAGTGAAAAGACGAAAAAACGACTATGATGACCAAATGAAGTATATTATTCAACACTGCAATATCTCAGTCACTTCAGTAATATGATTATATACCCTATATATAAAATATGTTTTTGAAATGCAGTCCCTCACCCCCTTGGCTATTTTCGCTGATTTTTCGTCGCCGGAGCGATTCACGTCCTAAATTTTGGTTCTCCGGGCGTCTCTAATAAATATCCTATCTAACCGCTGGACTGAATTAGCTATATTATGAAAAATTCATAGAAGATTGGGCGAAAATCGGTCGTTTTTGGCCTCAACGTTTTTTTGTTCGGAAACGCAAGGGCGATAAGACTCGATTTTCAAGAACGCAGGTCGCTCGGATCG